GAACTAAGGAAAGCTATGTTCAAAAGACTTAAAGGAAATATGAAAGCAATGAATCAACAAATACAAAAATATCAAAAAGAGATAGAAATTATAAAAATAATAAAATTTAAATTTGGGAATTGAAAAGTATAACTACATTTTTTAAATTCACTAGAAGGGCTCAAAACAACCATGAGATGTCAGATTAAAGGATCAGCAATTTGAAGATAGGTGAACAGAAATTATTCAATCTGAACAGAAGAAAAAATTGAAAATAAATGTAAAAACTAAAAAGACCCTCAGAGACCTATGTGACACCATCAAGCACACCAATATATGTAATGGGAATCACAGGAGAAGGGAGAAAGTGGCACACAAAAAAAAATTCAGGAAATAATGTCCCCCAAAACTAGTCAATTTGGATGAATAATATAAATCTACAGATCCAAAATTCAAGGAACTCAATCAATTCCAAGTAGGATAAATGCAAATATGAATTTAAACCCTTACCTAATATCNATAAATCTACAGATCCAAAATTCAAGGAACTCAATCAATTCCAAGTAGGACAAATGCAAATATGAATTTAAACCCTTACCTAATATCATACACAAAAATAAATACACAAAGTGGATCAAATACCTAAATATAAGAGCTATAGTTTGAAACTTTTAGATGAAAACATAGGAGAAAAGCTTCTTGACCATGAGTGAGGCAGGGTCCTTAGATAAGACACCAAAAGCATGATCCATAAAAAACACAAAAAAAAGGAATAAACTTCTGATTCATGCTACAACATAGATGAATGCCATACACATATAACTGAAAGAAGCCAGTCATGAGAGACTATATATTGTATGATTCCATTCATATGATAAATCCAGAAAAGGTAAATCTATAGGCACAAGAAACAAATTACTTGTTGCCTGGGTCTGGGAGTGGGAGTGGAGATTAACTATAAATAGGCACAGGAATTTGGGTGGGGAGGAGGAGATAAATGTTCTAAAACTGAATTGTGATGCTAGTTACACAACTCTATAAATTTATTTTAAAATCACTGAATTGGATTCCAAGAAAGCAGTGGATTGAGTGGAAGCTACACTGACAATCTCCCCTGACCAAACTGGAATTAGAGAAACACAATCCTGACTAATCTACTGAAGACTAGCTGGAGAGCACCCTAATAACCAAGGACAAAAAGTGGAAACCACATAGAGACTGGTAGGAAGTGAGGAGACATGAGAGGGCCGGCTGGGCACCCACATGCAGCAGCTGAAGATATATAGGGATATCTCAGCTGTGGGAGGTTCCCACTGAGGACTCTGGGGCCTAAACCCCAGGCTGGGCTTCCCAGCCAAGAGCACCAGAACTGAGAAAGGTGCCCACATAATATCTGGCTGTGAAAAGCAGCTGGGTTTCTGTCTCCCAGGAAGAGATAGCTGGAAATGCAGGCACCCTCTTAAAGAGCCAATAAACAAAGTTTTGTGTGCAGACACTCACCTTGGGCCCCAATAGATGGAGGGCAGAGTGGACTGGAGCTGTGTGAGGAGAATCTGTGGTTGTGGGCTCTGGAGATAGAGCTCAGAGGGCAACCCTCTGGATTCCTTTGCTTAGTCATTTCCCCACAGTGCAAAGGACATCTTTCTCAGGNGTGGGCTCTGGAGATAGAGCTCAGAGGGCACCCCTCTGGATTCCTTTGCTTAGTCATTTCCCCACAGTGCAGAGGACATCTTTCTCAGANGTCATTTCCCCACAGTGCAAAGGACATCTTTCTCAGGCAGATATTTAACATCCAAGAAGCTTTTGCCTGGGGTGAGGGTCTAGCAATTGCCTCATCCTTTTGGAAACCTCTCACCTCAACCGGTGGAGTTTCTACAGCCTGAGGCTCATTAAGAGACTGAATAACAATCAGCCTCTGGGTTCTTTGAGTCTTTGCCTATTTTGCTTCTGGACCCATGGCTTGGGAAAGCAGACCTTGACACCATCTTGGTCATTTCCAAACACACCAAGTGCCAGCAGAGGAAGCCACAAGCTGTGGAGTTCGAAAGCTTCAAACAGGGTACTAAAGGCCAGTCACAAACAGCATCTGACATTGACCTACACCAGAGACCATCCAAAAGACTGGGAGTCCTAGCATATCTACCCATTACATAGAAACAAATCCAAACAGGCAGCCAAGTGGGGAGACAAAAAAACAAGCCCCAAATGAAAGAATAAAAGAATTCTCCAAACTCTAGGGCCCTTTGTGCCAAGTATTGGTATATACTAAGCTGGCTAAAAGCTCCTTTTCTCAAAAAGAACATAGTTGAAAATGAAGAACATGCAAAAAGTATAATACACTTTATTACAAAGAATGTAAAAGATACAACACTAGTTCATAGAGGGAAGATATTTACTCTGCTTAGGGTCTTCAATGAACACCTCAGAGCAGGTGATATTTAACCTTGTCTTGAAGGATAAAGAGAAAGGGGAAGGAGCATTGTATCAGAAAGTTTTACCTATANCACCTCAGAGCAGGTGATATTTAACCTTGTCTTGAAGGATAAAGAGAAAGAGGAAGGAGCATTGTATCAGAAAGTTTTACCTATATCATCTCAAGTCCTCACAACATCAGGAGAATTAAATTATACTTCTCCCATTTTATAGACAAAGAAATACCACCAGCATCTTTTGGTAGCCTGACTTAGTTTATATTGCTCATAAATGGCAGAGTTGGGATGGCAACCAATGTCTACCAGAACTTAAAACCAGACAGTTATGCTTTGCAATGACTAGAAACAGCACTGATGAAAGAATATGCAAAGGCATAGAAATGTGAAAAAATATGGTGAAGTGTTCAGTTCATAAGGATTTTATGTTATATGCTTTTGAATTTTAAATATTTTTGAAGATAGAAGCAAAAGCTTAAATAGGAGAGTAATGTGATCATATTTGATCTTTAGATAGATCTGAAAGCAGAATATAGAAAGAGCTAGACTTAGGTAAGATTGGAGGCAGAGAGGTCATTCAGAAGGCTTTTCAGTCATTAAGATGAGAAAGTATATAGACCTGAAATAAAAATTGACAGTGGAAATAAAGAGGAGGAAACAAAACTGAGAAATATTCAAGATATATAATTTTCTTTCTGGGATATAAGGTGGAAGAGGAGACAAGGGTGCCACATATGTTCCTGGGTTGTGCCTCTGATAGAATGGTCATGGTACTTCTTAAGGTATTTAGAAAGATGATAAAATCATGAGGTCAGCCTTGAGCATTTTACCTTTGAGATCCTTGAGCAATTTCCACGTATGTATTCTACTACAGTCTTGGAAATATTATGCTGGAGTCTGGGGCTAGAGCTTTAGATATAGAAATCTTCAATGAGTGGGGGAGTGGTTAAAACAATAAAGCATGTTTGCAATGAACAAAGATTTTAGAATAGACCCCTGAGTCTCATCAACAATCAAAGATAAGCAGTAAAAAAAAAAATTTAAAAATCCATGTATCAGTGAAAGACACACAAAAAAGTGAGAAATATAGGAGAAAATTTAAGAGACCTCTCTTATACAAATATTAGGAATGCATTCAGCTGCAAGTAACAATGTAAGCAATGCCTTATTTATACTCTCTTAAACAAACTAGGTTTTACCTTTTCAACATTACAAGATGTCAGAAGGTATACCTTTGTTGATATCAGTTAAGAACCTTTTAGACAGATTTTCCTCTATCTGTTCATATTAGCACGTTTAACACATTAACTTCAAACTCTTGTGGTCTCTGCACTTTAGGCACATTATCAGTACTGAATGCAAGAAGCAGTGATCCAGGAAAAGAGTTTTCTCCATGTTAAGCTATGTGTTTTAATCTGAGAAAGAAGACCTTCCACTGAAGACTCTTCTATATCGCATTAATCAAATCTAGGTTACATTCCCCTCTTAAACCAATCTGCAGCCAAGTTAAATTGGATTATCATGTTTCATCTAGGGACTAGGATAAGGGCCTACCCTCTCCCAAAATTGAGAACATCTCTACCAAATACCTAAGCAGATAGGTGTTCTGATAGCAAGACATCAAGAAGGAAAGGCTTTGAGATAGGCAACATATATAGCAGCCAATGTCAGAGAAGTTTCATAAACAATGGATGGTCAACAGTATCAAACTTGAAGAGGAACTAAGAGTGAGAAGTGATTATTATATGTGATTTTTTATATGTAGAATACTGTGTGGTGGTGACTCTTCTAAAACATTTTCTGGAGTTGGAAGCTAGCTTGTTTTGGCTTGTTCAATAAACAGAATGTGTAAGTTAAGCTTACTTGGAAAGAAGTTGAGAGTAAAAGGGAAAATCAGAAGAAATCTCCCCATTCTGTCCTTGATAGATTTGATTTTTGAAGGAGAGATTCTATGTGTAACAGATCAAGGGAAGTGAAAAGTTGAGATGAAGGGAAAAGTTGATTGATGCTTCCAGATTCTTGGAAAGATCTAGAGTTTACTTGGAGGCGCTGGCCTTGAAGAGCATAGAGCAGTGATTAGTCCTACAGCTCTGAATACTGCAGGTCCTGGCTTTGCCTCTTCATCTTTCTGAGGCTCAGTTTCTCCATTTGTGAAATGGAGATAATAAAACTGGGCTTTTTTTATGGAGTTGTTAAGAGGTTTGAAAGAGGTGATACTCTTAACACAATGCCCTGAAGTAAAAGACACTCAAATGTTACCTGTGATCATTATAATTGATATTAACTATTAAATATCATAGTTATATTTACTAACCTTTACTCTCAGATATACAAAATTTTAATTTATTTTTAGTTTGTCATTAATTAATCTAATTACTATGTTGTATACCTGAAATAATATAATATTGTACAGTGTTACCTCGGTTTTTCAATGTAATCCATTTTGGAAAACCATTCGAGTTCTGAAACTTTTGAAAACTGAGGGATTAACAGCCGACAGCTAGGCCTCAAGATCTTGCGCTCAGCAGAAGCCATGTGGCATGTTCGACTTCCGAGGCGGGTTCAAAAACCTAAGCATTTACTTCCAGGTATATGGCGTTTCGTAAACTGAAATGCTGGCCAATGAAGACTTTCGAAAACCGAGGTACCACTGTATATCAACTATAACTGAAAAATAAATTTTTAAAAAAGTGGTCATGGACCAAAGGTGAAATGTAATAAACCAAGTATTATAATTATTAAGTCCTGTGCACCTAGTTCTATTTAAATTTTAAAAGACCGAGGTAGAGAGTGATGGGATATGTTCAAGTACTTTTGTCCTCATGATCTCTATAGGCCCAGTGAAGTAAGAGAATATTAATGGGCTAAGGTGCAGGTAAGAGAATATAGAGTTAATATGAAAGTATTAACAGTGGTGTTACAAAAGAGATGACATTTATTTGGTGTGAGAACACTTAGGGCAATGGCTGGAAAAATGATTCAAAAATCTTTGAGAAAAATACAGAAGAGGTTTAACTATGGGATAAAAATTAAAGTCACCCCTCTTGGCTCTATATGAAATATTTACTATCACATTTCCCCCTTTGATATTCCTCTTATATAATAAATTTTTGCTAACCTAATTTCTTCCCATTTTTCTATTTTCATCTTATCAATCAATTATATCTAATTTAATTAGCAAGGAAAATAGGAAATCTATGTTTGTGCCAGTAATACTTATTCTTTTTAATTTTTATCCCCAGGTCACTTGAAAATCAGCTCTTCTGACCCAGTCAATGGGTGGACTAAATGACTCTGTGGTCAGTGAATTTGTGTTACTGGCCCTTTCTTGTTCTTGAGACAAAAAACTTCTTCTCATCTTGATATGTTCTTTGCTCTATTTAGGGGTCATCTTGGGGAACCTTTTTATTTTGTTTTTGGTAATTTTTGATTCTCATTTACATTCTCCTATGTACTTCCTGCTGGCCAACCTGTCCCTCATTGACATGGGCCTTTCCTCTACTGCAATTCCTAAGATAATCACAGATCTTTTAAATGAATACAAAGTAATCTCTTTTCAAAGTTGCATGACACAGATATGTTTCATTCACATCATAGGAGGAGTGGCGATGGTTTTACTCAGAGCCATGGCATTTGATAGGTGCACAGCAATCTTTAAGCCACTTCAATACTTGAAAATCATGAATTCTAAAGTGTGTGTTTCATTCGTAATCACTGGCTGGGTAACTGGGGTGATCCATGCTATGTCTCAGTTTTTTTTGTTATAAACTTGCCTTTCTGTGGGCCTAACAAAGTTGACAGCTTTTACTGTGACTTTCCTAAGATTATAAAACTTGCATGCACAGGTGGAGCCAAGCTTGAGTTTATTGTTACTGCCAACAGTGGCTTCATGACTATGGCCACTTTTGTCCTGCTAATCCTTTCCTATTCCTTCATTTTGGTCACCATCTGGAAATGTTCTTCAGGAGACTTATCTAAGGCATTTTTCACTTTGTCATCTCATATCACTGTGGTTTTTTTGTTTTTCACTCCATGCATATTTCTTTATATCTGGCCTTCTCCCCCACCATCACTCGATAAAAACCTGTTCATTGTTGACTTTGCTATTACACCTGTCTTGAATCCTGCCATCTATACATTAAGGAACAAAGACATAAAGGTAGCAATAAAAAGATTGCACAAAAAGATATCTTATTTCAGATTTTGTTGACCATATATATTTTTGGGAGTTTTAAAACTATACATTCAACTCCATGCTGGCCCATCTCCACTTAGGCACCTCAAATTTAACATATCCATAACAAACTCATCATCTGCCATCCTAAATCTGTTACTATATCTGTGGAATATAAGACTATTACCATTACCATCATGAGAAAACTAAGTCCATCATGCTAAGAATTTATATTCTTACAGAGAACAGCATGAGTTGAAAGAGGACATTTTAATTTTGAATTTTTTGTTATTTTGCAAATAAAATGATATAATAGCATCATTTCTACTATTCATAAGGTCTAAAATAACCTGTAAACTTGTAGTGAATGTCAAAAATCATCACATTGAATTGTTATATATGTAGGTCCAATGGCTTTAATTATTACCTAAAAGAAGATCCAGAAACAAAAATCTGAATGCAAATAGTTTATTTGGAAGGAATTCCTAGAAGACTGGTTCAGCAATGGGGCCATGACACAAGGAAGGAGAGGATGCCAATAGTGTCTGTGTTAATTGATATCCTACTACTGTGAACAGCTGCGGTGCAGTCCTGCTGTGGCTCTCTAAGAGAACATACAGATTCTATGAATTACTGTTGTCTCACTTGAGAGGCAAGAAAGTCATGTATTTTCTTTTCCAAGTATATAACTTTCTTTCTCTTAGGTAGTTTAAGCATTCTAGAAATCTACAATACTAAGATAAAGGGACTTTAGAAATCACTTTATCCAACCTCTTTATTCAAAACCATTTAAGATAAGACTGGGAAGAGGAAAGAGTGTAGTGAAAAAGCAAGTCTCCTTTTTCTTTCCTCTCTAAATCTTTTCTTTTTCTTCCAAATTTACTTATGTTTTTTACTAACTCTTACAATTTTTAAAAATTTATCTTTATTGTTGAAAGAATTTCAGATGTCCACTTTTTCTCCCCATTGACCCCTTGTACCCACATCCACCCCCCACGCCAGGCCTTCACCACACTGTGTGTCCATGGGTTATGCATTTTGTATTAGTGTAGCTCTGAGGCATTAATTCCATGGGAGTTTCAGGCTTCCCTACATAGTGGGTTGAACACCTCTGATATCCAAAGAGGTCCTCAGGTGAAAATCTCTGGAGCTTATGGTATAAAAGAATCTACATTCTTGGAAATACTAAGTTCTAGGGGGGTGTGTGTGGTGTACCAAGAGCAAATATCATAGGCTAGAGTCATTTGATAATTCCACATCTTCCCATGCTCGAGACATTTATCTCCATAGCAGTTCATTCCATCACTGATTCTTCAAACACAGGAATGTTAATAGAACAAGTGCTTATGGCTCATGTCAATGCACATGTTCTCAGGATTATATTCATCATTCTTTCCTCCACAACCCATTCTAGATTTTCCTCACATTTATCTAACATTCCTGCTCATCTAGATCCCTTGCTCAGATCCATATTTTTCTATCTGAGCAGTATGAGTCGGTCCATGATTATCATGTTCCCGTCAGGCTGTAATTGTTGCAATTGCCCATTTACAGTTATCAATCATAGTTGATGCAAGTTATCAGCAATTCTATTTTTTCATGATAATGAAAGTTAATTATTGCTGGCATGAAAATAACTTTTTATTTGTCTGCTGATCTATAAATACAAGGAAACCAAAATGGCCAGGGAGCTACTAAAATTTTGTTTATTGTAATGCTTACTCTGTCCCCAAAAGAAGCATTCTCCCCAGCCCAGCAGAGGTCAAAGATGTAGGTCAGAAAGCTCAGATTCTCCAAGGAAGTGATGGAGAATGAAGTCACGCTGATCACCTGCCCTTGGTTTTGAGACCTATGCATTCTAGAACACAATACCTAATAATGTCCATTGGTTCGAAATATATATCTACATTAAAGCACAAAGTGTCACCTGCAAACTGGCACATATTTGCACCCTTACAAGGCTATTCCCATGTTTTATCAGACTGACAGCTTCTGTTGGATACAAGCACCAGTAGGTCACTTGGTTGTGTGCCCTTTGTTGCACTTTCTTTGCTGTAAAGACATTCCTATTGTCCTAAACAATATTATGAGAATATTAGGCATCCTGTGTACCTCTGGATCATTTTATGGCCAAGGTACTACTGTCAAACCATACCTGGAAAGAACATTTATCTTCAGTAAGAACAATTCATTGTTTTTCCAGCAAGGAAGGGATATCCAATGTAAACAACCTGCCATCAGGTTGCTGACATGAATGCCTCAACAAATGAAACCATATCAAGTGTTGAGCATCCATGTGTGAGCATCCATCCTTGAAAGGTCAAACATTCAACAGTGGATATAGCTAGGACTGCTTTAATGAGAAGAGACCTTGCTGAAAGAACCCATGGAAAGACTTCATCCTTGACATTCATAAATATTCCATTCAAGGGCCCATTGTGCAAGCACTGGAGTGGGTGAGCCAGGTAATCAACTCTGCTACTTTACACTATTCTTGGACTACAATATGATAAGTACACATGTCTTTATTCCTGCTTTCTTCTGGCTAAAAGAACAATTATATCACATCTCAACATGACAAAGTGACAATCCCACGGTTGTGAAGAAATTATAAAACTGACCCACATTTTTTAGGACAAATATCATAGAATAGAGTCATTTGATAATTCCCAGCAGAGTGCTAGGTTCATTGCTATTTTTTCTTTCTTTAAACACATAAAATAGAAATGTTGACTCATATGGTTTGAAAAGGGCAAAATAAATGAAATATAACCTCCAAAAGTATGTGCTGTTGAATGTACACTCATAAAATACAGTAATTAGAATAGCAAAGAAAGCTCAGATGAGAGCTAAGTTCTATTCTGTAATAAAGGTGTATTATCAAAACAGAGGTGAATAAATCCATATAATAAATAATCAAGCATTTGAACAAATAAAAATGTTGTTTTTTGTTTGTTTTTTATGTTATTTATTATAGTACTTCATTAACATGAAATAATTTAATTTAGAGTAATATTTGTGTTTAAACCATATAAACACTATCTTACTGACCCTCCCAGATGAGGGACCCAAACCAAGATCCTTCTGTCCAGTAACATGCATGCCAATAGAACAAGACTGAGTTCAGTAAAGCAGGGCAGAATATTTATTCTTTGATCCAGGAATGGAGGAAGGTGAGCTCATGCTCTAACGGGACCTTATCCAACTGAGGAGAAGCCTTCTGTATTTATAGGATGTGGCACGGCGTGGTTAAATTATTTTAATCATGCATAGTTATTCTACTGTTTTACTGGGCAATCTTGCATTCAGCCCTTTTGCACATGGTCCTTTTTTATCGTCTTCACCCATGGATATGGTTTTTTAAAATTGATTTTAGAGAGAGGAAGAGAGAAGACAGAGAGAAGCATCAATGTGAGAGAGAAACATCACTGCAAGAAAGATCAATCATTTGCCTCCAATACAAGCCCTGACCAGGGATGCAACCAGCAACCTGGGTATGTGCCCTGACCAGAATCAAACCTGAGACCTTGTGGTGCACTGAACAACACTCCAACCAGCTGAGCCACACTGGCCAAGGAGCACATTGTCCTTTTTGCAAGATGCCTCATTGCCATCTTGGTTTTTGCACTGGGCTTCTTGGTCATTGTGGACAGTAATCTTTTTCAGTTCCCTGGGTTCTGGAGGAGGGGGGCACAATGGACTAGAGTCATTGAGGAGGGTCTGGGGCTCATGGCTCCAGGGAAGAAGCTGTGGGGGACAGTGCCAGGATCCCCGTGCCAAGACACTCTCCAATACCACAATCACTGACCTTGGGTGGAGCACTCAAAAATTTGGGTCTTTACACACACAGAAATTAGATACATACATATCAAAAATAAGTTAACTTGATCAAAACATTTTTAAATTACATACAAAACAACTTTTGAAAATGTAGATGAAATGTATAGAATTGTGGCATAAAGTGTGCAATTTTAAGCAAGGCAACACAAGCACAAAACATGGGGGGTAAAGACTGTATTTTACTACACTAATTTTAAATTTGTTGAAAAAAAGACTTCTGGTTTTGGGCTCCACATGTAAGGAGTTTGGAAGTTGCTACTCATCCTAGCAAGTAAAAAGCTGGACAGTGTGAAAAATCAATAACTCTTCTTGGGTTCGTCAGAAAGGAGAAGACACAGGGCAAATTGATGGCCCCAAAATTAGAGAGACAGACATGCAAATACAGTTTAATGTGGCTTACTGGAACAGAAACAAACAAAAGGAAACTGAACTACCATTGATGAATTGCTGGTGGCTCAGTGCAGACAATTCTGAAAGTCAAAAATATTCCAGGGGAATGCAGTCATGGGGGTTTTATCAATATTGTGAGATTTACTTCCAGGAGGTTGACCAGATTCCAACAGTAAATATTTGTGTGGGGGGGAATAAACCTTGGGATTCTGGCAGAAGGAGGGAAAAAGGAACTATTTTGAAATATACCAGAGCCCTCTGCCATCTTAACAAGCTCTGCCCTCAAACGAAACTATTTAACCAGAACCTAACCTATTGTGGTATTATCAGAGCCTCACTGACCTGGAAAAGGAAAATACCCAACTCTAGCCAGCTCTAGTCTCCATGTGGGAGAAGAGAGATACCCAACTCCAGCTCACTCTAGCCATCCTGTAGCATCTAAAGAGGGAGGAAAAAACTGAAAAACATTTGTTAAGTTCATTGTACAGAGGCCTAGGCTCACTAAAAGACTAAGACCTAATCAGAGAACTATAGGACATTTCCTTTTCACCCATGCCTTACCGCCACATTACTAAAAACCTATTTACAGCAATTCCTTTTACTCAGTAAACCATGTCCAGATATCAAGAAAAAATCAGTAGGCATACCAAAAGGCAAAAACACAATATGAAGAGAGAGAGCAAGCATCAGAAGAAGACAAAACAGGGATGTTGAAATTATAAGACTCGGAATTTAAAACAACTATGATTAATATGTCAAGGGCTCTAATAAGTAAAGTAGACAGCATGCAAAAACAAGTGGGCAAT